AAGAATCCATCACCTTATTCTCTGTTATAGAATTGAAACTTAATAACCGATAATATAATATTTTGTGTAAATTAGAAAACTTTGAGAGCAATTACAAGTTACTAATGGAGCCGAAATCGGTTAGTTATTTATTTGTTGTCCTGTGTAACTGATTGTTGAATTTACAGCTTTAAATACATGATGATATACTAGAATAGTTGAATGATTTAGTTGTACTTCCTTGATATATATGTTGCTTGTCTTTCATGATTTACGGTTGATTTGTAAAATTTATTAATTAATATACAAATGTAAATTTTTTTGGTCATTTGAATTAATGAATGGTAGTCTTACTATATATCCTAAGAGATGGTGGACGGATCGGGTACATAAGGACCCTACCGTGAACGTTGTCTCATACTAGACGGGGTATCGAGTAATGATATTTTTGACGCTCATACCAGACGGGGTATGAAGACGACCCGATTCACCTTTATACCGGACGAGGTAGTGAGAGATGATATTTTTAGTGCTCATATCGGACGGGATATGGGGACGGCTGGTTAGTTGACAATCTTGGATATTAGTTTACGCGTAGTGAAACATCCTTATGGGCCCTTAAGGATACCAGTAGACAAATAAAAAGAAAAAATGTTTGTTATTGCTCACTTGAAAATAAGATTGGAATGTTATTTTAGTTATTATTTCTATAGGTCGATTTTGGAAATCTCACAACGGTAAATATATGTAACAAATAATTTTTTTTTAATGATAAATGAATTTACTTAAATTAAGAGTTTTATTAGTTATTTTTATGATTTTTGCCAACTTTCAATTTTTATATCGGTGAGTAGTGTGATATTCTTATTTGGTTAGTTTAGCTTACCCTTTCATTAATTATTTCAGATCAAGAAGATCAAGACCCAGATCTCGATCAATAAGAGGGTTGTGAATAAGTTCACCACCCGGACTCCCTTCAAAAGTTAGTAAAGGTCACCATAAAATGCTAAGCATATTACTTTTTATTTATTTTCTTAATTTTTATTTGTTCTTTTAGAATGATTATTCTTGTAACCTTATTTTGTATTCTAAATTATTGAGTAAGGAATGTAAATCTTAAACTCTATTATTTCGTTTTCGCACTTAATTTATGATTTTATTTCCTTTTAAGTTCTGAACCTTTACAGTTTAGATATCAAATTTATCTCTAAACATTGTTTTAAGGTATTATACTGTTAAAAATAAAAAAATTTCATGAATATTGAAATACAAACACCCGAAAAAAACTAGACATGAGAGATGACTGACTTGTTCAATAGGATGAAACATATATACATTCTTAAGCTCTAAGAAGAACACGAATTTTGCTCTACCTTGATTCTCAATTAATGCAAACACAGTCAATTAAAGCACAAGAAAATGTAAAGGAAGAAAAATCCTCCAGTTTTGGCTACATAAGTGTCAACCCATATAGATATATATATCACTCTAATTCAAACCTCAGAATAACTTATTTACACATCAAAATCAAAATTCCGAACACAAAAATTCCCTACACTAAACAAATGAAAATCTAATAACCCTATGCAGAAACACACAAATTCTCTTAACTCATCAGACACAAAAGAGAGACCATCAACACAAACATTAGAAGTAATACTTAAAACCAAAAAAAATTAGCAGATGCCCCGGTGAAATA